GTAGTCGTTGTGGATAATAAATTCAGACTATAGAATTGGTTTTGTATGCACCCATCGATCTGACGCAGGCAATTTGTTTTTGGAGCACTGGTGCACGACATAATTCGATTAGCCCCACCCATAGCAACATAAGCCTAGCATCACAGGACCCAACAGGCGAACGCCACCAGTTAGCCCAGAGGGAGCCTGTGCCCTATCTGGTGTGTCGAGTGAAAGAGACAAGAGAAGAGGCGCTTTTTTGCTCTTTCACTTGGCATGTGTGTCACCCATTATTCTCTCAACAGAGAGTGAAACGAGAGCTGAGAACGGCATCCCATCGGGTGGGCGCGCCCACCATGAGAACTTCTAGAGATGAGAGAACGCCACAACTATTCACTCCACCACCTCCCAGCCTCTCCACAAATGGAGGAGAGCGAGCCGGACGGGCTGGAGAGAGGCGGATACCAGGCGACACTACTCGGCATATCAGACGTGCCTTGCACGTAGCGTAGACTGACACATCACTCGAGTGCTTCCTGCCCGCGTGTCTGTGGGGATGACTTCGTACGCTGTAGGACACAGACACACACAGAGTACACAGATTCTTACACAGAAACAGGATTGTCTGCCTCATCACATATAACATCTCCATGGTGAAGTCACGAACATCAGCAGCAACTGTAAACCGTCTACTTCCCATCTGCCTCTACTACAACTGAGTACATTTGCTCACTTTACCACAAACATTAATTGTTTCCTGTGAATTCCTTGTGCTTGGGAATGCAATTTGCATTTGCTACAGCAAAGACAGCCACTACAATGAAAACTACTAAAACTAAGACTACTTTTGAACATTCCTTGAAGACCTACCTCTTCTGAGAACCTACCGAGAGTACCTTCATCTCATTTTCTACATATTTAAGCCTTGCTGCAGGAGGAGTTTGGAGTGTTGTAGCACTTTCTTCATGATGGTGTCTCCTTTGTGTACTGTGGCTGGGATTATACCTCATTTGTACACTGATTAAGACAAATAAATGTTATGTAAATGTATATAGAGAGGCTGAAAAACATTTGGCCTCATTAGTTATCATGAATGGGATTTGATATGGTGAAGACCTGAACAATGACTTTAAGTGAAGGCTGAATACTTTTTCCATCACTGCCTAGAGAGAGAGAGAGAGAGAAGACAGAAGAGGAGAGAGAGGAGCGAGAGATGAGAGCAAAGAGCACGAGAGACGACAGACGAAGAGAGGAGC